ATCCGACCCCTCTGGTACCTGCACTTCAATTATGAATACAAATTGAAGGGCTAACAGGGCCAAGCTTGGCAAACATGTTTGCTGGGAGCCCCTTCCCTCCCCCTTCCCGCTTCCCTCCCTCTTGCTAAACCATTACATTCCTAAAGCTAGCTCCCAAGGGCCATTCCCTTATTTGGCCACTTCCTTATGTCTGTCTAAAACTCCAAGGTCCAACCAATTATCAAAATGCCACGGTCTGGCAATCAAAAAAACTATTTGGCTGCACTGGCTAACAGGTCCAATCAGGACTCACCCACTCATCCTAGCGCAGGTTTCTCCTTTTCTCCTTAAAACCCACTCCTGCAGAGACACCTTGTCTGAGCCAGACAGCCTCTCCCCACCACCAACTTGCGAGGTCCCTCCAGGGTAATAAATCTCCTTTGTGCTGACAATTTGGTGTCTGGGTGTGTTCTGTGCCAACTCTGAGGTCTCTTCACTCATCTCACACACAAACATAATTTTTAAATACGATGCATATATATTTTTTAAAGATAGGGTATCTCAATGGATGGTGCTTACTCATTTTGCCTTTGCAGACACAGGGGAAAAAATTTAAGGATGACTAAGGGCATTGCTCCATAGTAGACAGAGTATGTGCATAACATGAAGGCACACAAACAGATATGTACACAAGGAAGGAAGGAAATGGGGGAGGGAAAAACAAAGTCCTGTGCGAATAAATGAAAACGAAAATGTGAAAACAATTTTTCTGACCACAATAGTGTGAGACTCTAACTCAATAATAGAAGAAATTTCAAAAATTTTCCAATTTGTGGGAACCAAATAATAGCTCCTAAAATAAAAACTAAACAAATAAAAGTCGAATGAATAAAAATAACAAAAAACACCTAAAAGGAAAATTTTAAAAATTTCATTTGAGACAAATGAAAACAGATACACAGTATGCTGAAGCTCATTATACACAGCCAAAGTGATGCTAAGAAGAGTTTATAGCAGTAAGTACCAACATTTAAACAAAACAAAGAGATTCTTTAGGGCACGAAGGTGGCTCAGCTAGTAAGAGCACTTGTCTTAAGCCAAGCAACCTGTGTTTGATCCTCGGAAGCCAGGAAGAAACAAAAAAACAAAACAGGGAAGGAGAGAAACTCCACAAACTTGTCTTCTGCCCTCAGATGACCACTACAACACGCACATTAATAAATAGTCTCAATTTCACTATGTCTCCTATCTACAGAAAGATGGCCAAGGGAAGCCTAGAAGGAAAGAACGGAGTAATAAAGATGAGAGAGAACTAACCGAGGCACCACAAAAGAAACATTAAAAAGTCTGGATATCCTCAAAAGCAATTGTTCCTTGTTAGAGCAAGAAAAAAAAATCAACAAAACTTAGTTTGGCTAAGGAGAGGAATCAAAATAAAAGTGCATTCATTCTAACCAACACAACAAGAATGCATGGGACCATGAGACTAAGAGTAATAATTACATGGGAATAAACTGGGTAGCCAGACCAGCATGTGGTGATGCATACCTTTGATCCTAGTGTTCTGTAAGGCAGAGGCAGCCAGATCTCTGTGAGTTCAAGGCCAGCCTGGTCTACAAAGTGAGTCCAGGACAGCCAAGGCTGCACAGAGAAACTCTGTCTCAAAAAACCCAAAATAATAATAATAATAAATTAGATAACCAAGAGCAACTTGTATGTTATTGGGCACATTTAATCCACCAAGATGAAATACTGAATAGAAAAACTTGAACAGTGACAAGACTGAATCATTAAAGTCTGTCATCAAGAATAATCAAGGACACCCCCCCCCACACACACACACACAGAGTGCTGATAAATCCACTCAGCAAAATGCCAGGCTACAAAATAAACATGTAAAGCTCAGTTGCATTCCTACACCCTAAAAACAAAGTCCTAAATGGAAATTAATTTATTCTATGCATCAAAAAATATTTAGGGATAAATTTAAGAAAGAAAGAGACTTGTGGAGTGAAAACTACAAAAAATGCTGGGTAAAATTAAAGGCCCAAGTGAAGAGACATCGCAAATTCAAACTCCACAAGGTTTAAATTTGTTAGATTAGCAATAAACCCAAGGCATTCCATAGTTAGTGCAAATCCTAGCAAAGTTATCATTATAAAACTCGTACGAACCCAAAGGACATCAAATTATCAAAGCAGTAAGAATAAAAAATCTGGGGCCAGGCATGGTGGCACACATGATCCCAGCACCAGGGAGGCAGGGGTAGGCATATTTCTGAGTTCTGAGGCTCTGTTTTAAAAAGAAAAGAAATTACATCGCAGCCAGTCCTGAAGAGACTTGATAAGCTAGCGTCAGATGGAGGGGGAGGAGGTCCTCCCGTTAGTGGACTTGGAAAGGGGCAGGGAGGGAGGATGGGATTGGGAGGGAATGAGGGAGGGGGCTAGGGCTGGGATACAAAGTAAATAACCTGTGATTAATATAAAAAATAAAAAAAAAAAATTTACAAGACTCACAAGTCCTGATTTTAAAAGTTACTTCAAAGTTCCACGTCAAAACAGGGTATTTTGGGAGTAAGGACAGATACAAAAGAGCCCAGAAATAATTGCTTAAGTGGTATGATTAAGTGAGGTTTTTTGTTTGTTTGTTTGTTTTTCTCCCAGTAAAGGTACTAAGACCATTTAATGGGAAAAACAGAGATTGGGTTTTGTGACTTGTTTTTTCCAACAAGAGGGCTAGGAAAACTGGATATCTGCATTTAAGAAAGAGGAGAAAGAGGAGGAGGCTGTATTACACCAGATAACAAAAGTTATGTGAAAACTGATCAAAGACCAAGATTAGTGACACTGAATTTAGTAACAACTGTTTTGACATCAAAAACACAAATAACAAAAGAAAAAAGAAACAAACTAGGCTATTAAATTTCAAAACTTGTTCACCAAAGGCGATTCTTCAGGTCAACCTGAGATGGAAGATGACCCTGGAGACACACCTCTAAACATGTCTGAGTGGGTATTTCCAGAAAGGTTTGACTGAAGAGGAAGGAAACTGAATAAAGGCAACATCGGCCCAAGAGCTGAGGAATAAAAAAGAGCAAGCAAGCTGAGCTTCATAGAAGATGCCATGTGACAGCTGCCTCAAGCTCTGTGCTTTCTTCACTTAGGACTGTATCCCCTCAAACTGTGAGCCAAAATAAACCCTTTCTTAAGTTCCTTTTGTCTACTATTTTGTCATGGCCACAAGCAAAGTAAGACTCCAATGAAAAAGACAATCCAGAAAAATAGAAAACACAGATGAGTCATAGTCTGACAAAGAAATAACAGATGCTCAGAAGGCAAGAGAGCCAGGGTTGAATATTCAGCACAGTAAAGAAGCCTAGACTAAGATAAAGGACTCATACAATTCAACAAAGCACAACAGAAGCCAATTTTTAAAACAAATAAATGGATTAAAGATATCTCCAAAAATACAAAAATGTCTAACAAGCACATGAAAGGAGGATCAACATTAGTCTCTATAGAAACGAAGGTCAAACCGTAATGAAATCACATTTCATAAGCATGTGGGTAACTATTATTGATAAGATGAAAAGTTCCACATCCTCAAAGGGACGTAGAGACACTGGTAGGGCCACTGTCTTTCCGGTGGGCACATACGGTACAGCTCTCTGGGTATTTGGAGGCTCCTAGAACAGTTATAAAATTAACAGTTGGAAAGTGAGCTTTAAAGTGCCACACAGACGTGTAAATCACAAGAACTACAAAGCAGAAACAAGCCAATAGCCATCAGCAGACAATGGGATGACTAAACTTTGCCATAAACATAAAGGAGTATTATTCAATGGTAAAGGGAATAAAATTTGGATGCTTGTGACATGGAAGAGATCCTGAAAGCACACCATGTAAGCACCAAATTAGAAGAAGCAAATTAGACACAAAATAAAGCAGAGGAAGCTACAGCTCAGTCACACTGATAGTCTGGAAATAATGACTGTGCCCAGTGGCACTGAATCACAACCTAAAATGGCTGTAATGTGTATCTAAGTATGTCACAAAAAATAAACTGTCATAGTAGTATAACTACACTCTACCCCAGTGACTGTTGTCTCTTGGTATCAGTGCCCTTATGAAAAACCCTTTGGTTGAGTATGAGCTGTACTCCCTTTTTTTTTTTTTGGGGGGGGGAGGGGGCAGGTTAGTGCTGGAGCCAGCATTTCTCTGTGTAGCCCTGGCTCTTAGAACTCACTCTGCAGACTAGGTTGACCTCAAGCTCAAGAGATCTGACTGATTCTGCCTCCTGAGGGCTGGAACCAAAGGTGTGGGCCACTACACTTGAGTAATGACATATTTCTAACACACAAGGCAAGACAAATGACTAAGAATTTGGTCATAAGGAAACAGTAGCATTGCTTTCTTCTGGGTCACTATTTGGGTAAGTCAGGTTCTAGAATGCCATGCCATCAACAGCCACAACACAGCACAGCCACAGCCACCCACGAGCTCACTAATGACATCACCCTTCTGGATCCCAAGGCAAAACACCCAGCCAACCTGGCCCTGTATCTGACCTCAGATACTGGTATAGAACCTAACATCCTACATAGGTGGTGATGGACAATAATGTATGCCAGGGACTGGGGAGAATGCTAAAGAGTCTAAGTAGCCCAACAAATGATCACAAAATGCTGGCGTTTTCAACACCCGAAGCATTACATGAAAGTTCGTAATTTAATCTGTGTATAATAAGTAAGGTACAGAAAAAGAAAAATGGGGTGGGCTGGAGGGATAGTTGAGTAGTTAGGTGCTCTGGCAGAGGACCCCAGTTCAGTTCGCAGCACCTACATGGCACCTCACAACCATCTCTTCTGGCCACCCTGGGCACTAGTCATTCACATAGTGAACATACATATATGAAGACACCCACACACATAGAAACAAATAAATCTATTTAATATGAAAGGAAAATGTTACCTTTGGGGGACAAGAGAGACAGCAGTTGATACCAAGATGACTTGAACCAAATTTCATTGGCATTAAAAGTTTTATTGGGAATATCATCCACAATCTATACAAGTTATGTACAAGGCATGAAAATGGAAAACAGCACAAAATACAATTGAGGTATAAGCTAAGAGCACAGTATGTCATGTTTCAATAAATATAATCCAAAATTTGTAAACTAAGTAACCAGATAGATGAGTCTTTTTTTTTTTTTAGTAAAATCATATAAAATATTTATTTCACGTGAGGTAGAGGACAGTTTTGTGTGTCATGTAATGCAACCAACCACAGCAATTTTAATCATAAAACTATACACATTGGCAAAATTATCAATTGAGTTCTGCTCAATCTAGTCAATTTATTTCAGTAGTTGCAGAGGGGCTGCTCACTCACTGCCTTCACAGGTTAGAAACTGAGGGATAATGAAAACTATTGCAGTGCTTTAAGATGACCAGGGTTAGTACGTCCAGCAGAAAAGCTAATGGTGACTACATTCATCACAAGCTGTAACAACTCAAAAGATGTCCTAGACTCAGGAATTATCCTAATGGGGTGTTTTCGTGAGAATTACTTTAAATGTGCTGTGCTTTCTTTATTTTCAAGTGAGGTATCTCTATTGAAGAAAAAAGCTTATAAATTTCTTTGATACTAAACTAACTTTAAACACTACTTTGTTAAACACTACTTTGTTTTCTGGGCTTAATTTTAAAATGTTTTATATTTGATCACTTTCTAATTCCAAAACAGTAGCACTATATAAGACATTTAATTCTATTTCTAAACAAGCTTCAAATTGTATTATGTATTTTAAAAGCCATTTAAGTGGGAAGATTAAAAAAGACTGCCCTTTTAAACAAGATACAATACAAAATACCCATATATGTTTTTCTTCCAATAGAGGAAATGCTTAAGTATTTTACACTAGAAAAAAATTAAGCTCTGTTTAAATATCTCAGTTCCACAAGTGTAATATATAATGCAGCAGTTCATAGCACATATTGCTGATTGCTTCCATGAAACCATTAGCAAGTAGATCCAAGTGCAGGAGCAGATGTACAGCATGAACACCATTTGTCATCAGTTTGTAATGTCCTGCCCCAAAGAGTAAATGCATAGCGGACAAATAAAAACTCATTCTTCCTTACTCCCTCAAAGCATAACATGTTGAGGAGACCTTCCAGAAGCGGGTAAAAGCCCTTCAGACCAGCGTGCAGCTCTTGCTAGGGAAATACCTCGGGCACATTTCTTATTACTTCTGCTTCCTTTTCATTTTGCTTTTCTGCAAACAGAAGCCATAGACACAAAGAAACTGGTTGTTCTGACGTGACTTTGGAAGGATGCAGGGAGCCTGTGAACATTGTGGCACTCATTCTGTTTCACCTACTTCTGTCTGCTTTTCACTATGTACAATGAGTTTATTCATTACTCCTTCCCACCACTGTACAAAAGATTTTACATATAAACAGGTTATATATTAAATATGTTATAAAATCAGCTCAAGAAGCATAAAACATCCTTATCCTCAAAAACACAAGAAATTCAAGCAAAAGAATATACTTCAAAAAGCCCAAGCCAAACCTAATTGCTGGTTGAACCTTGTGGTGTTCAAAGCCTCGGTTGTGATTAGCAGGTGGTTTAAAGCATCCCTGATGGCCGAGGGAGCTTCCACACTGAGTACCTGTATACACACGATGCGAGTTCCTCAGACTTTGGCCACAGAGGGAAACCACGCACAGCAAGCATTGCTCATCGCCCAGCCTGAAAGCGGACACCGTCTTTCCCCCACTCCACAGCCACTCCCAACACAGCTGTTCAGAGTGAACGGTCTCATTTTTTCCTAAACAGAATGTGGAGTCTGAGGAAAAAATCCGCTTGCTTAGTGAATTTAGCACAACATACGAGACTTAACACCAAAACAAACTCTAGGATAGCAACCAGCACACAAAATGAGCATGCATAAAATAAGTTTCATGTGGATATTTTAGCAGAGGTCACTTTTGGAGTACTATAGAATTTCAATTTTGTTTTCAAGCTATATGGTGTAATGTAAATTAAAGTTACTTTTAACAGTAATAGATATATTTACAGTTGATTAAAAATTAATTTTAAGGAAGTTCAGACAGAAAATATGGCACATTCTTTCATCTTCTGGATAGTGAAGACTATACTAAACGATCATGAGGCAAATTTCATCAAGACTTGAAGAATTACATGTACTAAGTAGCACATACGCAGAACAGTTTTGGGTAAGTCAGAAAAGTAAATGATGTAAATCCTTGATTTTGCCTCTCACATACCCAGCTGTGATACAATTAATGGACAACTAAGCTAAGGCTATTTTACAAATGCCTGTGGGGTTTTTTCTCTCCAGATCTAAATAAAATGTCATATGTGGTCCCTGTGCCATTTAAGATCTGTTTTTCCTCAAGGAGGTTATGAAAGCCAACACATTAAATGTAGCGCTAACATAGTAGAGTAAATTCACACCTAGGTCACAATATAGTTAGAAAACAAACTCCCTTTTGGAAAGTGGAAAAGTTGCTTTTAAATATGAGTATCATGAAACAAAATATGACCATAAGAAGGTAAGTGATGACCCAGGGTCCTGTGTCCCACACCACTGGAGTACAGTGACAGTCAACTCTGAGTTACTCCTAAGCACAGGTCTCAAGTCACTGCATTCAGTGCCTCAAGACAGCACTGGAAACATGAAACTGGGATGATGCCAGTGCTGCTTTCAGGAACCTCCATAAGAAACCATGAATAGCCAGGTGTGGTAGGGTTCACACCTGTAATCCTGCCACCTAGAAGGCAGAGGCAAGAGGATCCCTGCAAGCTGGAGGCCAAACACAACAAAAAGAACATACAATGCTCACTAAGAATTTTCCCTAGTAAACATCAAGCCAAGCATCAACTAATGTGAAATTTGCTGGTAAAAATGTCAGACTTTATGTGCAAAAAAACAAAAAAGAAAAGTGCAGAGGCTGCCCTTCCCAAACCATGGAATTCATCTGTCATCTAAAATTCCTGCTGGTTGCAGATACTTCAGCTGTGGATTATTAGTCTATCAGATACTATTCACTGACTGTAAATTCCTGATTTTAAGATTAATCATATGGTCCATTCGTGCAAGATTTAAGATAACATTTAAACATACAAAAGTCCAAAATAACCTTCAAGATATTTAATATTTTATAATTTAAAAGAAAAAAATTATATAAATTTTAGTAAGACCTTTATAATACTACATATAAAAACTGTACAAGAGGATTGTGAGTTACATAAGAACCAATGTACATCAGTGGAATCCATTTTCCTCGTGACCATGAGTATTTTCACACCACTATTAACAGTAAGAGTTCAGAAATCATTTAATTTTCTGAGTCACACATGTATTTAGATAAACCCACTCTAAAAAGAACAAGCTGCAAACTGCTCCCCGTGTGCAGCATCAGGGCACAGCAGAGCGAGCTCCCCCACTCTATGCTGGGGTGGTGGTGCTATCATTTCATCAGTGAACTCTTCTAGGAGGAAACCACAAGAAACTCATTCCACAACCCGAACAACATAGAGACGGGTGCATAAAAAAGAGGAGACTGTGTAATGAGAAGAATGGGATATTCTGCAATGAGAAGGAAGATACAGAGTGAGTAGCTCTGTGTCATAAACATCACCTCTGTATCTAAAATCAAGCCTGAAATACGCATAACAAAATTGACACAGCTATTTTCCACCACATAATACAGCTTTGGAAAGTATGTAACTGTTAGGCTTGTCTTAGAAACACAAGTAGACTGTCTACAGGTTGAAATTACATAGGTTATTATTATCCAGCTGATTGGAAAAAAATAATACAAAGCATATTCTTTCATTCATTTGGGAAATTTTATGTACTACACATCATCTTCACTTTTGCTGCCCTAGAAATGAACAGAATGCCTAGTTATCTTCATGCAGATAAGATGGTAGAATTCAATTTTCAAAGCAAGCAACGAACACAAAGCCTGTCAACCAAATACAGGTGCACCTCTTCTTCGGCTCCTACTCCTTGTTGGTCTTTGATGACTTCCCAATCTGCAATTTCAGCTCCTTTATCATCATCTCTAGCTTCTGTCTTGCCTCCCGCTCCTGTCTGAGTTCATCTTGGAGTTCTTGCCGGTCTGCCTCAGCATGGTCTAGTCTTTGTCTCAGCTCTGCCAACTGTGTGATTGAATACTTTGTTAGTTTTCCACCACTTTGATTTCCTTTCCCATTTAATCATCCTACCATGGTTACAAAACAAACTGCCATTTGCTTTTTACACAATGAACTATTTTCACGCATCTCTCAGAACACCTAGTACTTCTGACAACTGACATGGCAGTGAACTGGAGGAAATGAGTGTACAGTGCACTCTCACTGAGGCTTATGGCTCCACTCTGACTCCACACCTGATATTTAATGTGTTCACCTTCCTGTATTTGTGATAATAGTAACACAGGACTACTTATGTTTGCCTCCAGACTTCCAAATATAGCAGGCAGTAGTTCATGCTTGCTAATTTGGAACAAAAGCTCATCCTACTATATTAAAGTAATGAAAAACTATGTTCTGTCTACTTGTTTATTTATTTATATGGTGCTAGATTTTGAGCACAGGGTCCTATGCATAATAAGCGGTACTTTACCATTTAGCTATTTTCCCCAGCCTGAAAAGATACAAAGTTCTATACATAAAGAGTACTAGAATCTCAATTAAAATAGAAAATAATAAAGGTTAAAAAAAAAATCTTACTGGAGCCAGGTGTGGTGGCACACACCTTTACTCCCAGCACTTGGGAGGCGGGCAGATCTCGGAGTTCAAGCCAAGCCAGGACTAAGCAGTGACACCCTCTCCCACACCCCAGCCATAAAAAATAAAAAGGAGAAGGAGGGAAGGAAGGAGAGAAGGAGGAAGAATGGGAGAGAGGGGAAAGAGGTAAGAAGAGAGATAGGGAGAGGAAGGGATAGAGAGGGGGAAGGGGGAGGAGAGAGAGAAAACACGAATCTTGGTGAATAAAAACTGTTCTTAACAACTTCCCATTCTGAAAGCTCGCCTGACTTACAACTTGACAAAGGTAACTAACGCCATGGAGGCTGGGAGCCTGACGCATCTCACCTGTGCAGCATACTCAGCCTCTCTGTCTTTCTCTATGTTCGAGTCACAGGTGCACTGCTGCTGCATCACCTGCTCCAACTTTCTCTCTAAGTCTCTCTGCTCGACATAAAACGCCTCCATCCTCTGAGCATGCTCACTCTGCAAAGACTCAAGCTCTTTCTGCAGATTCTGCTGCTCTTCAGTGAGCTCCTTCATCGCCTTTGAGCTGCTCAGCATCTCCACTTCCTGTAACAGAAAGTGACAATTCTTTATTTCCATACCCTTAGGAAAAAGTAAGTCACAAGGTATCTAAGCTATGGTATCTATATATCTATATATGGTCTATACAGAAGTGACTGTCATGAGCAACAGCTTCTTAGTATAAAACTGAGCAGCTCTGAGTCCATTTGCATTGTCTCATTCTAACTTTCTTACTATGAAAAGGTGTCTTAACAGTGACTATTTCTAGCCGAGCAGTGATGCTGCACAGCTTTACTCCCAGCACTTGGGAGGCAAAGGCAGGTCGATCTCTGTGAGTTCTAGGATAGCCAGAGCTAAACAGGGAAACCCTGCCTCGGAAAACAAAAGCAAGGCAATGACTATTTGTTAAAACAGTTTACCATCTGAAGCTGTTGCTTCTTTTGCAGAATTGAATTCAGCTTCTCCTGCTTTTTTACGTAGGTTCTCATCACTTCTTCCATAATCTTTCCCTTATCATCTTCACAATTAACATCTGCGACCAGAAGTGGAGAAGCAGCTTCAGCATCGCGCTTGCTTACGTCTCTTACTAAGCTGCAAACAGCAGACTCAGATTTCGTTTTACTCGTAGAACTATTTGAGATGGATGGGTCTTTAGGGAAAAAAAAGTTAAAAAGTCACTGGAACAATTTACAAGTGAAATTTAGAAAACAATTCCATTTATAAATCCAATCAAAAGTAATAAAATACTGAGGGAGGAAAATTAACAGAAGTGCCAGATGTGTAGAATGACACCTGCAAAATAAACTACAACACGAAGATAAATGATGGCATTCCATGCCATGGGCCAAAGACTTAACCTACTCAATGTAATCCACATTAAAACCCCAACTCCTTTTGTAGAAACTCATTAGGTCATTCTAAGGTTCACATTGAAATGTGAGAAAGTCAAAATACCTTTAAAAACCTGGAAAAAGAGTAATAAAGTTAAGAGGACTCAACCCCATCAATGTCAAATATTCTTAGAGAAATCACAGTGTGGGGCTGGTAATGTGTTTGCCACGTCAGTGTGAATCCCCAAAACACTTGTAAACCGGTGTGCCGCCCCACACATTTGTAAACCCAGCCCTCCGAAGGCTGCAGAAAGGCGGATACAGCTGAATCCCAGAAGCTCGAGAGCCAAATGACAGAAAGATTGTGACTCCAGGTGGGAGGAGAACAGCAACACTCAGAGTTATCCTCTAAGCAACATATGCACCCACACAATACACACACAAACACACATCATACCTACATAAACACACAATCAAACTGTGGTACTGACATCCGACTAGACATTTTACTAAGTAAAAAAAGAACTCAGAGTCCAAGTGCTCACTTCAATAGCACATATGCCAAAAGTGGAATGACTCAAAATTAGACATGGCCTCTGAGGAAGGATGACATTCAAACTAGCTGGGCACAGTGGTGCACACCTGTAATCCCAGCGCTCTCAGAGGCAGAGGCAGAGGCAGAGGCAGGCAGATCTCTGTGAGCTCGAGGCCAGCCTGATCTCCAAAGAGCCAAGGCTACCCAGAGAAACCCTGTCTGGAAAAAAAAAAAAAAAAGACAAAGAAAGAAAATATAATGACGCCTACTCCTTTGTATGTTAACTTAAAAGGAAACAATTTTTTTTTTTTTTTAGAATCCAAGCCAGGAGTGGTAGGTGACATACACCTGTAATCCCAACACACAGGAAGCTGATGTAGGTCAAAGCGCAAGGCCAGCCTGAGCTACCAGCAAGGATCGTGTCTCAAAACTTTCATCAACTGCTGTTATTATTATGTTACCAAGGCAATCCAATCAGGAGAGAACAATCTTTTCAGCAAATGAGCAGCAATGATAACGTGCAAACAAACAAGCCAAATAATTGGCATGCCCCACATATATAAATATTAATTCAAAATGACTTAAATAGGAGATCAAAGAATAAACTGAAGTAAGAAAGTAAATTAAACAAACTAAAGTGCATAAAAATTACAACCTCACTAAAAATATAAATGGAATTGTCAGAATGGCAAATCATACATCTAACAAGGACCAAAATACAAAGAGAGAGCTCCTGGAACCCAATAGGAAAGAGGTGATCCAAGTTAAAAACAAGCAAAGGTAATGAATTGGATTCTTTCTTCAAATAAAATATCCAATGTCCAGAAAAGCATAAAAAGATACTCAACTTCCTCAATCATCAGGAAGTTACAGTCCAAATCACTTAAGACACTGTACCATAACCACTGCAATGACTGTATTCAGAACAGACAGTAACAAGTGTTGACAGAGATGTGCAGACACAAACTTTCATCGACTGCTGAGACATTCAGAACAGTGCAGCTACTACGGAAAAGTCTAACAGTCTCTCAAAACACTGGCAGTTATATGAGCCAACATACTCTACTACTAAATATATATTAAACAAGAACTGAAAATCGATGTCCACACTAAAACATAATACAAGTTGGCAGTATTCTTCACAACTACGTAAAAAACACAATGCAAAGCGTCTACCAGCTGAAGAGGGAAAGAACAGAAAAGGCATATCCACAGTAAAACACGAAGTTCTTTTCTTAAAAGAAACTGTTCCTACCAGAAACACAGTTGAGAAAAACATGCCTAGAAGAGGAGCCAGAACACAAAACTCCGTATTGTCCTTCTTTTATCTGAATTGTCTAGAATAGGCACCTCCATAAAGACCAAACATGAGGGAGCTAATGGGAGAACGGGGGTGGCTGCTGGAGGGTGGCAGGGATTCGGAAGGGAGCCACAAACATGCGCTGGGATTGAACAGCTGTGGGACTCTTCACAACACGGTGATTACACTAAAGACAATGAGTAGGGCACTTTTAAGTTATATGGTACGGCAAATGTTCCTCATTTAGTTGTTTAGATTTAGTTTCTGTTAGCTGTGTTTTGCATACACATGTTTGTGTGTCATGTGTTATATATGTATGGAGTCTGCAGTGGTCAGAAGAAAAAATTAGATTCTCTGGAAACAGTTACAGGTAAGGTTGTGAGCCACCATGTGGATGCTAGGAATGAAACCCAGGTCCTCACACAGAGCAGCAAGTGCTCTTAACCGCTGAGCCATCTCTTCAACTTACTTACTTCTTTTTGTAAATCACTAGAATTAATTGAGCAGTTAACCAGAATGCAAATGTTATGATGATGTATGAGTTATTACTATCAGTTCAATTCACAGGAACCTGAGCCATAGCAATAACTCAAACATAGGAAGCTGTCACACTGTATGAAGATAGTAGCAAAGCAGCAGGAGTACTTGACAACTCCGAAAATGCTAAATGACTTCACCTGCATGGCACTGAGCAAAGCTGAGCTGCAATGCACAGTAAAATGGGGCATCTATATGCACCCCTCTCCTGTGGCCCATGGCATTTTTAAAGGCACGGGAAACCTGTAGGATTTCTCTGAGATACAGCCAGCACCTGCACCAATACCACTTGACTGTTTCAACCTTGTTTACTGCTTAAGAGGACCCATTCTCTAAGTTCTGCGTCTAATTTTAAATATACTTAACATCAGGTAAACAGCATCTCAGTTTACATTAAAAACAAAACAAAAAACAGAGATGATGAGGAACCAGTGAGGAATTCTACCAAAAGGAAGAGGAAGGGGAAAGTCAAGTGACAGCATCTGCATGAAGCTAAAAGCTGTAGGTATATGGGGGGAAATCACCTTAAATAGAAAAGGCTTTTAAAATACTGAGTAAATGTGTTTCTTAACTAGCTGATTTTAAAAATACAACTTGCGGATACTTACCTACACAACTGTACAATTCTCTACTTGTTTTTAAATCCATTCTCTCCTGTTCCTCAAGTGAGACGTCTGGGTAAGACACTGTGCTTTGGTCTTTACTAACACCATGAGGCTGTCCTGACTGTTTGGAGATGGACTTACTTGTCTCTGTCTTGGTGGCCTCTTTAGACTGGCAGACAGCGGATGTGAGTGACACATTCGGCGCGACCACTTTATCACACATGTACAAGTAGTAGCTGGAAACAGGTGAAACAAAACACACTTTAAATAGCCTACTCAAGTATAAATTACAATGTGGTACCTTTCTAAAAACTTAATTCTCAGCCACTAGAACAATCGATGTAAAAACACAAAGAATACAGGCTACAGAGAAGATTTCTTAGAAAAAAAGTCAGCGCTTACGGACAGCAAAACTAAGGGATTTTCATTATTTGAGAGTAATTTCAAAACACTGAAAAGACACTGGAAAACAAAAGTGTCTTCCTCTTCCCTCAAAGCCACTGGAGAACTAAAAGCATGGGTCAGCAGGTGTGGTACTTCACACTTACAATCCCAGGACCTAGGATGCTGCCACAGGTTAAAGTTAGCCTGGGCAACAGCGTGACTTCCAGGCCTGCTTCCCTGGACTAGCTAGTGAGACCCTGTCTCAAAACACAAGTAGCTACAGGCATGAAGTTCTGGCGCTTCTCAGCAGCTCTGCTGGCAAGGCGTGCTGCAGGGAGAGAGCAGGGGTGGGCTACTCTGCACCACTGTTTTCTTACCCACAGGTAAGAAGTGTTTGACAGTGAGGTGAGTCAATGATGAGCTCCCAGGGACCTCCTCATATACCTCAGAGAGACAACAGGTTCTGGGAATACTGCCCAGCTACCAGACAATGCATACATCCAATCCCATAGTGCCATCTCTTAAATTTCTTAATAAAGCAGCAATAATAAACTGTACAAAATTAAAACTAAAAGGACAACTGATTTTTCTCAAAGTTCACATAAAATTGCTTAGTAGGCTATTTACAAGCCTTACATAACAAATCTGAGATATTTAACATAGTTTAATATATAATCTAAGCACCCTTCCATGAAAAGATACGCCATTTATCTAACACTGCCCACATTTTAGTCTCCTTTAATGTCTCCATTTCTTTAATTCTTCTCTCATATACTCCGCCCCAACTGCAGTTTCTCCTCTATTCCTTCCAGTCTCCCTTCTCCCACCCCTCCCTTCCCCACTTCTCCTCTTCCCCCAGACACACTCCTCCTCCATTTAAAAAAACAAAACACCAGCAGGCCTCCCAGAGATATCAACTGAACATGGCTAGCCACAAACTGTCACCCAGGCTAGACGAGGTGACCCAGTAGGAGTAGAAGGTTCCCAAGTGCAGGATAAAAAGTCAGACATCCCGCTTTCCTTGCAGGATACCTATGTTACCATTCTTTATCTAGAGTTCTTAATACTTGGTATTCTGCCTAAAAATTGTCTACAACAATTCTCAATCTTCAAAGGTAATTAATTGAAAGGAAAACCTAAAGGTAAGTAATTTACATTTTAATTCCCAGAACTCTGCCTAGAAGATAGTTGTTAGTAAATGAACAAACCAACCAACCAAGGAAAAAAAACAAGCAAACCATTGGACAAGCAAACAAATGACAGCGCACTTACCTGGGATGGAAGAATGAATGCGGCTGAGAAACATGGTCACCTTCCTGTTTGATAACAGGATACCAGGAAGGCAGTTCCATTCCTGACGGCGGGTCTGTCTGTAGGAGTATGTGGAAAGGAACGTTACTGAGGGGAAAGAAGACTTTCTTAGTATGGTCCACAGGGCAGAACCCAAGGAGTAAACCCAGGGCCTTCCCTTTGTTATGCAGAAACTTGGACCACTGGGCTCCACAGCCAGCCCCTGATGGCAAATCTATGTCTACTTGACAGGGCTGCAGAAGCATCACATTTTTAAGGCCCATCTTCTACTAAGCGCCTTCCCTCAGTGCTATGTCTCATTCCTTCAAACTTAGAGACTGCCACCATCTGGTCTCAAATTTCAAAATACACAATCAAATGACACGGCTTATCAGAAAAAATTGCATACTTTCGGAATCAATTTTAACAGAAGAACCCTAAAAATACATAGCATTGAGAAGCTGACTCTTACTCTTGCTATACAATCACCCTGCCCCTAGCCGGCAGCCAAAGCCAGACAGCACTTGCTAGAACTTCAACAGACACCATTCTATAGCAGCCAATTAAATCGGAAACTACTGTGCTTGCTGAGAAGACTCAGTAAACCGTATTCCTCATATTAAAAGCGTTTTTTAAAGCACCTATAAATAAAGCAACAGGAGAATAATAACTGGTGACTTGATAAGTATTACTGGCTGAGAATTTTACACACTGATTAATTCTAATAAATGCTCCCCTCCATTAAGCAGTGATCATTACCTCTGCTTATATTTTAAAAATGATGTAAAAAGAATGAATTATCTATGATTCTTACATCTTCCTTATTTTGGCTTGCTTTATATTTGTCCTTCTCACATATTTCCATCACTGTCACTATCCTGATCTTATGAAAAAATAGGGAGCAAGGGTCCCTGATAGAAAAATGAAAGAAGAGCTGAAAGGTGCTGATTAAGACAGACAGCAGAGAAAGGATGTTGACAGATCCAAGAGAGTGAGTTAAAGGAAGGATCACCTAAAAAGATAGCGGGATATTCTTCTCAACTCTTGCCTCTGAGGCTCCAATCCCATCTGCAATTAGGATGTCCAGGGAGAATGACAACCTCATCATGAAAATACAGTTCTGTGGGTGTAGCTCAGTGTAGAGTACTTGCCTAGCATATGCAGAGCCCTGAGTTCAATTTCCAGTACCACACATTAAAGAGCTCCTCACGCACAAGGGATGCTCACCAAACACTAAGAATGGGGAAACTGGTTTACACGTTCCAGTATTTCAGGTCAGGAAAGAACATAAAGAAAAGGATGACATGCAGTCCTTATTAAAACCAAAATCAATTCCCAATGGCCTGGGAGACATGTTGCTAATGGAGACAACAATGTAAATGAAGAAGCCTTAGATAGAACAGACAAGCAGCCCAGTGCCTAAAACAAAACAAACAAAAAAGAAAGCCCAAAACAGAGGAAAAAAACTCCTAGAATAAATAAACATTACACAACTTTACAATCCAAAAATGACTTTAACGCCAATAAAAAATTTTAAAAAGAAAAAGAAAGAATCAAAAAGCAAGGCTGGGTGGGATGGCTCAGTACGTTAAAGCCACTTGCCACTAAGCTTGATGTCCTGAGTTCAGTCTCTGGAGCCACACAACGGAAGAAGAGAACTGAGCCTGTACGTTATCATCTGACCTCCACACATATGTTGTGACACATGCTCTCCCCCAAACAAAAAAAAAAAAAAAAAAAAAAGTTTATTGTTAAAATTTAGAAAAGTTAAAAAAAATGGTTATTTGTATTGCTGGGAGACATGTATGTTTTTTAAGAATTATGGAGTGAGGAATTTGAAATACAAATAAAACTTCAAAATGATAGAAAAAAAATCTTTTTATAAATTAATCTTCATTTTTATTTTACAGGTGTCTACATGTTTTACCTACATGTATATCTGTGAATCACGTGCATACAGTGCCTGTGGAAGCCAGAAGAAGGCATAAGACCCCCTGGTGCTGGAGTTACAGATGGGTGTAAGCCTTTTGGGTGGTGGGAGTCAAACCCAGGTCCTCTAGAAGAGCAACCAGCTAACTGCTGAGCCACCACAAAAAATAAAAACAAAAAAAACCTAAACAGTTTAAGAGTTAGTTAGCAAAAGGAAGAAGAAGAAAAGAAGAGGAGGAGAAGAGGAGAAGAGGAGGAAAAGAAGAGAAGAGGAGGAGGTGAAGAAGAGGAGGAGAGAAGAAGAGGAGAAGAGAAGAAAAGAAGAGGAGGAGAAGAAAATAGGAGAAGAAGAGAAGAAAAGAAGAAAGAAGAAGAAGAAAAGAAGCAGAAGCAGCCAGGTGGTGGTGCATGACTTTAGTACCAGTACTTGGAAGGCAAAAGCCAGCCCAGTCTACCGTCTACAGAGATGTTCCAGGACAGCCAGGGCTGTTATATAGAGAAACCCTGTCTCAAAAAAAAAAAAAAAGTTATCCATTGAAGACTTCTATGTAAGTAAACTTTTTTCCAAAAACGTCACAAAGCTGATAAAATATTCGTGAGATTGAATAAGCACCACGATTCTGATGTATTACTCACAATCTGGGCAAGCTCAACCACTTACAAGTAAACCAATCAGTTGTTTACAGTCTGGCAGCCCACAGAAGATTAGAGAGAACTGACTTGGGCAAGTCATTTACTACATTTCAATTCTGTATGACTAACACAGTACTTCGAGTTACTATGGTAACTTAAGTTTTAAATCCATCATCAAATTATATTCTGTATACTACTTAGATCTAAACTTACTTGAAACAAATTCATTATAAATGTTTACATTTTTAGAAATCTGAAGGGTGGCTCAGTGGTTAGGAGTACTGGCTGCTCTTGAAGAGGACCCAGGTTCAATTCCCAGAACCCATATGGAAGCTCACAACAGTCTAACTCCAGTTCTAAGGGATCCAACACTCTCTTCTGATCTCCAAGGGTACAAAACACGTATGTAGTATATACACATATATACAAGCCAGCAAAGCACTCATACACAGAAAAGAAACCTTAAAAATTAAAAAGACACAAATGACACACACAAAAAAAATCTTACTTTAAAATTGTGATATTCAAAAGAGTGGCTTAATAAGCAGAATACGGGGCTGGACAGATGGCTCAGGTTAAGAACACTGGCTGTTCTTCTAAAAGTCCTGAGTTCAAGTCCCAGCAGCCACATAGCGGCTCATAACCATCTATAATGAAATATGGTGCCCTCTTCTAGCCTACATGCACACATGCAGGCAGATTATATAAATAATAAATAAATCTTTAAAAATACTTTGCACTCCAATTCCAACTGATTAGAGGGCATGTTGATAAGCATCAGTAAATTATTTTAACAATCCAAGAAAAATCTAAGATTACCCTGAATTAAGTGAAATAGTGAAATTTTTTGTTAAACTCACTTAAAACAACTCTTGAATTGGTCTTATATCTTAAACAATTCTGGATATATTACCCTACAAATCATTTTCAGACTTTTTAAATTTAAACTTACTAAAATGAGCCACACATTAAAAAGGTTTTCCTACTATGGATATTAGAATCTGAAATCTTCAGAATAGCTTGCAAGAATTATTCAAAACTTTGACTTGGAATATAACGTTAGTTACTAAATTCATTTCAAAACACTACTTTGACTGTTATTCACAATTCAAACCCAGCACATTTTTTTTTTTCCTGAAACAGTGTCTTAAGTGTCTCATTATATAGTCCAGGCTGGCCTTGAATGCCAGAGATCTACTTACCTTTCACCCCCAAGTACTAGGATTAAAGGCTGCAGCCACCACACCTGGTTATACCTCTATTTCAGCAATTTCTCTAACTTTTAAACATCATCTTAATTAACTGCATTTGTTTATTTTTTAAGCATTCATACTTCTCAATTTCTATTTTTTATTTCCTATTTTCCCATCAGTCAACTAACAGGGTCACAGACCACAGATTCTGAGCAAACCTTATGTTCTAGTTTGTTGTCTGTTGCTATGATAAATACCATGACCAAAAGCAACCGGGGGAAAGAGTTTATTTGGCTCACACTTCCAGGTAGCACTCCATCACCATGGGAAGTCAGGTAAGGAACTTGAGGCAGGAACCAAGAGGCCACCCATGGAGTAAGACTGTTTAGTGTATTTCTCCAGTGTCTGCTCAACTAGCATATACAGACCAACATGCCTATGGCTGATTCCACCTATAATGGGGTAAGTCCTTCTACATCAACTAGCCATAAAAAAAATGCCCTACAGATAAGTAACACACAGGCCAATTCAATCTGGGCAACAACCCAACTGAGGTTCCCTCAGATAACTGTGGACTGTGTCAAGCAGACAACCGAAGCAAACTAGAATGCCCCCTTTAACAATTACCTACTACTGTCTCTAGCCAGTGTCAAAATTCCCTATTCAGTCCTAGTAAGGGGCTATCTAGCCTCTGAACAGTAACTTGAAGTCAAGAACATGTTCATTGTGTCTTTTCGGTACCTAGCACCACGCCTACCATGCAGCATTTGTTGAGTGATTTTGAATGATGTGGTTCCTAAGTAATCCACGGGACAGCACTATATAAGGTCACTGTGGTGGTAAAGAGTGGAAATGGTTCCACGACAGAGCATTTGCCTAGCATATGTGAGGCTGTGGATTCAATCATCAGTCCCAGCAAAGGGAGAGGAGGAAAAGGACAAAGAAGGGAGGGAGAGTAGTACAAGGTTACCGGCTACCATGAAACTCAAGACACTGTCACATTAGGCATCTTTCTCGTCTGTGAAGCACAAGGGAAACTGAATTGTTTGGCTACATTTCCTCAGATGCACAAATTAAATAACACAAATCCTAAGTACAATGCCAACAGTGATGAAGTACTGCAAGTTCATTTGGCCTAAAACGCTGTAGTAAGCCATAAACACACTTCTAACAAATTATCCTAAGTACATCTTCAAAACAATTAAGCACATATTACAAAATGAAACATTCACAGACATGCCAGATTTTCTCTATGCCTGCATTTGTGTCAACATACAAACTGGGTTTTTAGAAAAAGAATATAATTAAATGGTACAGCAGTAATG